TGTTGTTGCAATCAATTACCGGCTAGATATATTTGGATTTCTTCATCACACGAAAGATTTTGAGTTAAGAGGCAACTATGGCCTTTTTGACCAGTTAGAAGCCTTAAAGTGGGTTAATCGAAACATTGCAGCGTAAGTTGCTTTTTGTTTACATTGTGAATGGATGCTCAGAAAGACTCCATATTTAGAATATTCTTTCCAAAASTATAGAACTCTAGTGTATCGAGTTTTGATGTACATCATTGATCAGTGATTAATCCAATCTACATTTTTYGTGATATGCATTGACTCTGATCTCATCTGGCGACCATTATCCTTAGGGTTAACGTAATTATGCGATAGGGCAATTTGACTTCTAGAGTTTTACTTTTCGTAACTCCATTTTGACAAAGTTTGCACAATTATTGGGTCGAGCTGCACGATCGAGTAGCTGTGTTCTCYCACACAACATATATTCGTGATATTCTTGTTCCAGTTTTTTTAAAAAGGCTAAGAATAAATCTGAAAAACGCCGACTGTAGTGATCTAATTTMTATCTATCTCTCTCTTTTTTTTGGTTTCAGATTCGGAGGTGATCCAAATCGGGTGACCATATTTGGTAACTCTGCTGGGGGTGCTAGTGTGTCTTTTCTCTGTTTGTCACCATTGGCCCGCAACCTTTTTAAATACGCGATCATGCAGTCCGGGGTAGCAAATTTCCCATTTGGCTATGCCTCATACACCGACGATGTTGTGACGTAAGTTCAAAGTTTGTGGCTTGATTATCACTCACTTGTGGCTTGATTATCACTCACTTAAAGGTTGTAAATTTGATGTAAATGTGATGTAAGCGTGCTTTCCATTTAGGTAGAACTGGCCGGCCAGTCCGCTCTATTTAGAAGTATATTATGCTTTTTGTCAACATTTTTCAGTCATTTCGAGGTTTTCTATAGAATAATGGATAGAATTTGAAACTTGAATTTCCCGACTAAATAGGAATGATATGTAATGACATTTTCTATGGGTCTGGCCAGCCAGTTCTGACAAATGGAAAGCAACCTAAGTGTCCAAAATAACGTAAATTTGGTGTAAATGATTTACAACAAATTTACATCATTTTGGACACTTACATCATATTCACATCAAATTCACAGCCTTTGAAAGTGCGCGATTTTTTCCAGTGTATATTCCTTAATTCTCACTTTGAAAGTTGTACTTATAATTTTACAGGGGAGTTTTTAACCTTACCAACTTGAACTGCACTGATAAAAACGTTACTCGTTTGATTGATTGTCTAAAGTCCGTCAAACCAAGTGTCATCTATGATGTATCTAAGCGGGGGTATGATATGCGGCCTGTTTTGAATGGAGACTTCATCCCAGGTACTCTTATATCCTATGATTCGTTACAGCGAAAAAACCGTTGCATSGCGATTTTTATTAGTTTCGAAGTTTGTTTTGATTTGCTCTTTCCTTCGATCTAAGGGGCGGAAGTCCGCCCACAAGTCGCAGAAAAATATAAATCTCAACGATTTCTCTTGAACACTGAAGTCGCGATGCAACGGTATTGCTTGCCTTATTGTTTTAGTTTAAATTTCTTATCATCGGTACCTAAGCACTTAATTGTTTAACAAAGAGTTTGACTTTAAGTTGGCAAGAGTCCTTTAATAAATTCAATTCCGGGCTTATGTTGTACCAGTTGACAGAAGTCTCATTCACAATTGAAGGCATGTTTAAATGTTCTTTGTATTTTTTGTCAGATTCTCCAGAAACCTTGCTTGACAAAGGAAACTTCACAAATCCCGAAAGTACTATGATAGGCGTGGCCAGCGATGATGGATCGGCTGCGACGAATGCCATACCGGGTATTTGATTCATAATATCAATTTCTTTGTTACTTTCCTTTGGTATTACAAATTTTAAATGGCTGTTCCATTAGAAGAGAGATTCTTGTCATTTTGTTCTTCTTGCATTGTTTATAGCGGAGCTCCAAGACGAGCGGAGCGCCATAGCTAAGAAAAAATGGTATATCCATCAAGTCGATTTTCGATGGACCAACACAGGGTTCCCGAGCGTAGGCAATTTTCCATCCGTCCGACCGTCCGGACTCCGTGTGCCACCACAAGAAAACCATGCTCCAAAAGCCAAAATATTTGTTGAAACATCGATTTTTTTTCTCAAACACTTATCTTCCAAATTAATATTATTAGAAAAAGTAATTACAGGAAAAAAATCCAGAGGAGAGCGAAATCAAAGCACAAATATTCCCGCCAATTTTGTCATAAGTACGACGCCTCCACACATCCGGGAAATCGATTTGCGAAGATGAAAAGCAATTTACTTTCGTCAAGCGTTTTGAGGCTCAGTTTTTATGAATAACAGGATGACTTTTCGCTTTAACATTTGGACAACAAGAGAAAGATGATGCTATATTAAAAATATAAATATGGGGAAAAGCAACAATCTGTGTGAATTTTGTTTACCAAGAAGTGTGGGGATTTCTGAAATCAAGACCATCAACAGAACTCGATTGATTTTAAAAAACAGATAATCAACAAAATTACACTGAGCCTTGAATGACTTTATAAATTGATGAAACCTTTGCTTGAAACAAGTATGGTTCTGTTGAAGATGTCAATTGAACGATAATTTATCGGAAGTTTGAATAATAAATGTAAAAATATATATATTTTTGCAACTTATACAGTTTTCTGTGATGTGAAGTTCGAGTAGGGAAGGGTTAAAACATCGAACTTTTGCTGCGTTTTTTCCGAATGATTATTGTAAGCTTATGTAGACTATTTTTACCGACAAGTTCAACAAGCTTTCAGTTAAATTTAAATCAAATGACATTTAAAGATTAAAATAACTCCGTCCAACGGAACAAAATCTACCGAGGTTAATAAGTATTACATTTAGAGTACGAAATTCTCATAAACATAATACTCTCCTTTCTTAAGCTAAAATGACTAAATATGTTTAGAATATTTGTTTGCATGTCAACATTCCTTGAAACAGCGCATCTCTACTAAGGCTATCTTTGAAATAGTAGTACTATAGATAATCACTTTCAGCTTCTGTTTTGCTATTGGAGCTCCGCTATTAGGTGTTACGTAATTTTTATATTAGTCTATAACCAATCTCGTACCCGGTGCACCTGCCCTTCTTACATCGCAAGCTCGACGATGTCTACTACGATCTGATATAATGGTAACCGCCAAGCCTGCGACAATCATCGTGAAATCTCAATGCTGTCCATCGTCTCATTGATCACCTCGAACAAGGTCGACTCCTCCCTGAGAGCCAGTGTGGTTTCCGGCGGAAAGAACATGCGACTATCGACATGGTGTTTGCTGCCAGACAGCTACAGGAGAAGTGTCAGGAACAGAATGCCGACCTCTACTCTACCTATGTCGATCTGACCAAGGCCTTCGATGCTGTCAGTAGAGAAGGTCTTTGGAGAAACATGGCGAAGTACGGATGCCCAAGAAAGTTCATCGTCATCGTGGCATGATGGAAATAGTCCAGGACAACGGAGAGGCCTCTGATCCCTTCTCTGTCAAAAACGGAGTGAAACAAGGCTGTGTCCTTGCTCCCACCCTGTTCAGTCTCATATATTTTCAGCCATGCTGACAGATGCCTTCAGAGATGCTGAAGTAGGCATCGGTATCAAGTACAGGACAGATGGCTCMATCTTCAACCTCAGGAGGCTTCAAGTAAAAACCAAGGTTTCCACGGACACCATCGATGAATTCCTGTTTGCCGATGAGTGCGCCCTGAACGCTGCCTCAGAGGCTAGCATGCAACACAGCGTTAACAAGCTCTCTGATGCCTTCAACAACTTTGGCCTTACCATCACCACGAAGAAGTCTGAGGTAATGCATCATCCAGCTCTAAAGAAGCCATATGCTCAACATCTATATCAACGGGCAGAAACTGAATGCGGTGGACAAGTTCAATTACCTTGGTGGCACACTCTCCAGGAACGTCATCATTTATGATGGAGTCAACGCCAGACTCGCGAAAGCAAGTGCCGCTTTTGGCAGACTGCATAAGAACGTCTGAAACAGGAGAGGGATCACAACTGAGACAAAGATCAAGGTATACCGGGCCGTCGTTATCACTACGTTACTCTACGGATGTGAAACGTGGACAATCTATCAGCGTCATGCCAAGAAGTTAAACCATTTCCACACCACCTGCCTCAGGAAATTTCTGGGTATAAAGTGGCAAGACAAGATCTCAGACACTGAGGTCCTCAGACAGGCTGACCTGCCCAGCATTTACACTATCCTAATACAGTCCCAGCTTCGGTGGGAAGGCCACGTAGCTCGCATGTCTGACGACCGACTCCAAAAGAAACTGCTTTTCGGCGAGCTACAGAAAGAAAAGCGCTCCCAAGGTGGACAGAAGAGGCATTTCAAGGATACACTCAAAGCCTCACTGAAGGCCTCCCACAGCACGTGGGAGCAGGCAGCGTAAGACAGAGGAAAGTGGCGAACAGCTGTCCACAAAGGTGCCAACACTTGCGAAAACAAACAGGATCGCTATGGCTAAAGATCGCAGACGAGCCAGGAAGGCCAGAGCTGCCAACCCAACAGCTGCTACTATCCCCTGTCCCCTCTCCAAACCCTAGGATAAATATTTGTTCCTCGTCGTACCGACGGACGAACACACATTCCACAGAGCCCAAGTTCTTTGTCGCAGAAGGTACGCGGGCTCTTGGTACGAGATTGGTCTATAACACCAACGGCTGCTGATTTGCATTTCATATCATTTTTCTACTTCCTTGTATTTTATGTTTGCTTCTTATTCAGTCTTTTCCTCACCGTCTACTGACATTGCTTGTATTGTTTCAGAACTATCGAATGGTTCATTAAACATCAGCAGCATAACCAGAAAGCGCTTTCTTCAAGTTATAGAAAACTGGTCTCCTCTTTTTAACCGCTTGTCCCAGACGTTTAAACGTTTCGTCAAATTGTACAAGGAGGCTGTTAATCAAGAATACACTCCGTGGTCCAATATCAACAAAACACGTCATATCCGACGCATGACTCTTGACCTTTTTAAAGACAGCGTTATCATTGCTCCATCAATTTACCACGCTAATAAATTTGTGAAAAACGGTGCAAAAGTGTTTTTCTATCAAGTGGATCATGGTATTGACATGTCGGAAGGCTATTTTACACATCCATCGTTCTTAAAGGGTTATCATCAAACAGAAAAGTTTATGGTGTTTGGATTTCCATTGAAAGCCTCACACCCCCCACCAGCCGATGTTGCAATATCCAAAAAAGTCATAGAAATGTGGTCAAACTTTGCAAAAACTGGGTATGAATCAGTGTGATTTGAATAAAATCCCATCAATAAAGAGAAAAAGAGCTTCTCTTATACTGTTAGCCTTATTCCAACCCATCACCAACCATTAATTAAGTCAACTATGTTTTGTTCTGTTTGCAGAGATCCTTACCCGTATGATACACAGAGTGAAGAGTCCTGGCCTGAATACGATCTAAACTCGAAAAAATATTTGTCAATTGAACCCAATTTGAAAGTGAAAAGCAACCTGCGACCTCGTCAAATGGCATTTTGGAATGATTTTATCCCTTTTTTGAATAAGACCTCCTACGAATCATGTGTTACCAACTTTACCAAGTCTAACATCAGCGATTCTGACAGTCTATTCCTTTCCTAGGTCTATTCTAAGGGATCTTGTCAACATAAATCAAACAATAAAATCTTAATGACAAACTTAAAGATCGTTTGCCTTGTTTTGTGGTAACAATGAAAACAGGGTCGTGACATTCTAGGAATCAGGATTTTCACTAGCTTTGGAATCTCAGATTTCAGAGATTTCAGCTCTTCCGTGAACATAAAACTTAGAGAGTGAACATAAATCTTAGTCTCTACCAAAAGGCCAGAGAGTGAGGGGTGGCTGTCCACTAGAGCATACCTTTAGCTACCCCAGATCAAAGTCATTGCATACAAAAGCTTGTATCAACTTCCGGTGATCACGCTCCCAACAATGCCCGACTATAAATAGCACCCGACTTTAACCTTTTGCTGTTCGTCGCCGATCTGTAGACACCTCGGGAAGCTTTGAATATGGTCCAAACACATGCGACTATTCGGCAAATGATTCTCCTTCATTCCATTGAAATATCAACAAGTAGATATAAACAAATTAAATAAAATTCATAAATTTGATTCCTCTTTTTACTCAAATATATGTGGAGACAGTAAAATTGTATTATTTACAGCTATCTTCACTACATAATCGCAAGAGAAAATAAGARCCCCGGGGGGCGGGGGTACTCGACCACGCTCTTTGGATAGGTACGTGCCGCCAGCGGTCTAAATCCCTGACCCTGTTTAAGACACTAACTAGACGCTCTGGGAGCGTGCAGTCGGACTAGCTTCTTGTGAAAATTGAGATATTATTATTATTATAATTGGGATATTACATGGATAAAAATATTTCTTAACTTTTTTTTCCAAAACAGCCGAACTCACGGTCTAATAAATATGCAAAATTTATTGAGACTTTAAATAAACTTGACCTAAAAGGTCATGTAATTAACGCGATAAGAACGCGGCTTGCTTTGACTGATAAAATCAACTACGCTCAGACAAATGTCTCGCTAAGTGATATCATGATGGCTAAAACGTTGACCTCTCAGGCAAAGAAAATAAAAACTTTATAAGGAAAAAGATGCCTACAAAATCATTAAATTCGCCTTTCTGTTATTGATAAACAAAATTTCTTCTTGTTCTAATTTGAAATCTTTGCCCCCACAAGACTGTCTAACACTAGAAAGGATATTGATTCAGTTTTGTAAGCATACAACTCGAAACTCTATGTGATCTGCACATGCGCGTACTTCTAATGCCTAGACAGATGCATTCCGATCAGATCACAGTAAAAAGTAAAAATCCATACCCTGTTCAAGACAAATCGGAAAAATAAGGAATAGCTATCTACGCCGCAACCAWCAAAACTGCAAATATACTGACATCCATCAAAGACAATAAGTTTTTGATAACACGTTAATTCTGGGACGCAGTGAAACGGTATTTCTACTATTTCTACGGTGTTATRAAAATATTACCCTGTCCAAGACACACAAAAAAATTATATCGGTCTCTTTTATCTAAATTGTAGAGCGGGATAAGAGCGTTGGTGATTCCTTTGTGCTGAAATGATCAATAAATTATTTTATCATAAACTTGATATTTTGTTATTGTAAAATAAAAATAAGAACTAGTAGAACAGAAGAGAGAATTAGAAGAGACATTGGCAGTCTGGACGTTAATTAGGGCAAATGTTGAAGTTTAAAGTGAATGACTTTGATGGGTTCTTAGACTATCGTACTATGATTTCAGAAGTCGCGTATGCTTTAGGAGGTATTGTTTCAATATGGTACATAGATACACGATAATTTTAAGGATTATTCCGATCCACGTCGATAAGTCAGTCTTTAAAACGCATCGATTTACATAAACTTCATCCTTCGTAAAAAAAATCGATGCACGGTCGACACGATAACAACAAGTGCATCGTCCATGAATTCTCCTGGTAACAGTGTGCGATTGCCCAGTGGTAAAACTCAAGCCAATAATTTTTGGCGAGGACGTTATTTTGCGAAATTGGAAAAGGCATATTTCGTGGACATATATTTCACCTTTTTGTTAAATGATTGTTTTAAGATAAGGGCATTTGTGCGTTAGCTTATATTTACAGGTCTTTCATTTCGTCGCGATTTGTAGACTCACGAACATTTGTATTGGAATGGGTACTAAGCATCCAACGGCAACACATTCAAAGGCATCCATGTTTCAAAGACTTCTACTTTGGAGGAAAACCCGAAATTTTTCAAATCTTCAAACGTTTCAAAAGACTTCGAAAAAAATAACAGCAGGTGATAACTGTGTTGAATCAAGTGAAACTGAGCAGGGTGAATTTAATAATTATATAATATAATTTCGAATTTTTGTTAAATAATTTTCTTTAAAGGGCATTTTTGCATTACTTTTTTGCTTTTGTTTAAAGATCTTTTATTTCGCGCAATTTTTTTACAAATCGTGAAATAAAAGACTCACAAACATTTGTATTTGGTACTAAGCATCAACGACAACACATTCAATGACATGAGTTTGATAACTGAGTTGAATCAAGTGAAACTGAGCAGGGTGAATTCCACGTAGCTGTGGTAATTTATAGACGCCACAGGAAGCTTTCTGTGACATGAGATCTTCAAATACCAGTTTTTTGATGTGTTCTTGTCTGATATCATGGATCATGGAACGTTAGTTCTAATGTTATATACAGACAGGGCGTGGAATGGTTTATGGTTGCTGTATTGTTGCTACAGGTACATATATGATGTGTTCAAATATGATTTAAATCTCAC